TTTGAGTAGGCCACGCAAGGCACGTTTGACTAGGCCACGCAAGGCACGCTTGACTAGGCCACGCAAGGCACGCTTGCACGGCCGATGAGAAGGCGATGCGAACGGGCCCGATGACGCTATTGCGTTCTATTCTTAAAGGCGAAGCTTAAGTGTCCTCCAAGTTTTTTTGTAAATATAGCTGATAACGCTGATGGTACTGATTCCTGATATATTTAACGGGGTAGCAGTTGTTCTCTTATTTTTAAGCCAAACTGTTAATTCGGAAGTCGCTAATGTGATCATGTACCTAACAAATAGCTAAATATACTGCGAGGCCGCCCAATTAAATATGCCCACCTACCATCGCTCCCTTGTTAACCTATATTTTTATTCTTTCTCTTCAAACTCGTGTATTTTACAGCGTTGTACGGAGCAGTCTGGTGTAACAGTCTGGTGTCGAGATCCAGTGCCCAAAACTGCGGTACAAAAAGAAGAAAAAAAAAGACTTATAGTTGAAGGAAAAGACACAGAAAGAGGGACGTCTCAAACTTAGTACTTTCTTTACTTCTACAAATGCTCATACACTCAAGACAGAGCTAAAGCTTCGGTGACCTCCAGCAGCCATGGTGGATGTTGCCGTCTCCTCAACACTAGAAGACTTCTCATTCGGGCAACAAACCCTGCAGCCCGAAGCACAGGACAAACCGTCGCGATACCTGCTGGTGCCAGTCGACCACCCGCTGTCTCAGATGAAAAGCTTAAGGTGCCTAAGTGGAAAGGTTGTTTAGCATTTCCAACAAAATTCCGGGGAAAAAAAACGTTTTTTTTGTGCGGACAGCAACATCGAGAAGCAACAAGGGACTTTGTTTGATTGAGACACGTGAGGTTAACCATGTTGAATAAACCTGAGACTGGGGCAGAAATAAACATATAAGTCGAAGGAATAGAAAAGGACAGGACGACGTGAGGTGTAATACCCTCGTGCAATGTCAAGACAAGTCAAATGTATACATTTGACTTGTCTGAATAGCCAGCCACAGACATGGGTATGGGAAAGCACTGACATTTTAAAGGTGAATATATCAGCAAATGGAACCTTGCTTCCGCTCGTCTTCTTCTCCAGGTGTTCTCCATCAAGGCATTGAAATTCGAGTGTTGCCATTTGATGGGATAGATAAAAAAATAGATGTGTTTGATCTAACTAAATAGGGTAATTAGCTAAATACAAATATAACGTACGTAAATGTTACAATAGGTTCCCTTTTTAAACTCTAACGGGCACGAGTTCCTTTCTCACAAATGGAACTTGTAGGGGGAACGCGTTCCAAAAATCAGGAGAAACGATCGAGGAACAAGCTTTCGTTTCCCCTTTTTTTTAGGGACGTGTACAGCACTGATTCTTCATAGGGATTCAAATAGCAAAAGTGTCTGTACTGTACACAGAATGCGTCAAAAACGAGTTAGGTAGCTATTGTACTATTTCTATCCTGACTGTTTTTTTTTTTTTTTTTTTTCTAAAGCTTTGAAAAAAAATACTTTATCATGGATTAGTAGACTTTTTGAGTAAATGGAACCTCATTACTTCATCGCGGTTTGGTCTCAGAAAGAACTCTTCAACTGAAGCAGCCAAAATTTTTAAAAAGATTGGAAAGTAAAAAAAAAAAAAAAAAATGGTCTTACGGGTGTTTTTATAGTTTACTAAAAAGTTAACTGTCTTAGTTAAAAAAAAACTTATTAAAAAATAAACTTGAAGCTTTTTGAATTTCGGGACATGCGTTGCTTCCGGGAGGCGGCGCACTTGTGACGTAACGGTTATCGCGCTTGCCTTCCACACAGAAAACCGATGCCTGGCCGCGGGTACTCATTTTTGTTGACTCTACTGGGATGTTCTGGTGAATTCGAGAACCGTGTTGCTGATTGGAGGGTAGAATGTTTTACGCGCCGAATCTTCTACACCGATTGTTCCAGAAGCCCACGCGTGTACAAAAGGGGCTCCGCGTGGCAAGCCGCAGGCAGACAGACCCCAGCGTCCGTTATACTGTTACGCCGACTTCAACGCCCGCGACACTCGGTTGCTGTTTTCTGTTCCCTTTTTGTCTTGGGCACAAGTTCGCCCCATCAAACGTTTCAGTTTTCTCTGTTATTTTTTGTTCCCTCACCTCTTCTTTCGTGACAATACATCATACAGAAGACAGTGTGCAAACACGAGTTAAGCGCGAAACACACGTACGACGAAACCGACCGATCCGACGTGCCGACTGCCGGAATGACCTTGGGGGGCGAGGGTTTTCCTAGCATCGGAGAGCGTTGAAAACCCTCGCCTCCGACCGCCGTATTGCCTGATCGGACGTCGGATCGGACGGTTTCGTCGGAAATGTGTTTCGCGCTTTACCGTAATATCAGAGGTTCTTCTTGAACTCATTGCCATGCGGCATTCGAAGCACGGATCTTGCGGTGACTCGCGTTCGAATCTGTATGCACTCTTTTGCATAATGTATAAGCAGTTTGACCCCGGCTACAATTTCGCAAACGATATGTATATATTAATTGTTACCCTTGCGCTGTAATGTCTATCACATCAGGTGTTCCGCAAGGTAGTGTATTATGACTCCTTTTCTTTATTTTTTTACATTCGGGATAATATGTAAGCATAAATGAGCATGACTAAAATTTGTGATCAACGCGGATGACACAGGCTTATTTATTTCTTCTGAGATCGGTGACAAATTAATTGATATGGCTGATTTGAATTTATCAAGTATAAAAAGCTAAGGGGACAGCAACTCATTAAAAATTAATATTGTTAAAACAAAAGCCGTGATTTTTCGTTCGAAAACTATACCTATGGGCCTCAAATTCTCAGCTTCAACTCAACACCAATCGAAATTTATAGATGTTTTAAAACTCTTGGTGTGTTCTTTTAGTAAGAACATGACATGGGGTAGTCATGTACACTATCTTATACCATAACTTTCTCGGGTGGTGGGAGTTATTAATCACCACCGGTCTACTTTGGCAATTAATGTTAAATTATTGCTTTACAAACTATTACATTCTCATTTAACATATTGCCATCTTGTTTGAAGTACTTCAACAACTACTAATATTTAAAAAAAATTCTTGCTATATATATATATATATATATATATATATATATATATATATATATATATATATATATATATATATATATATATATATATATATATATATATATATTGTTAGGAAAGACGACGACGTGGCGCGAGTGGCGCGCTCAAGTGTCGGCCGCAGAGTGCCCGCGCGATTCGATTCAGACTGACTTCGCCTGGCTGCGCTGCGGCACTGACCGTCATCTACAATCCTCCGATCATCTGATTAAACCTGCACATCGTTGCCTCACAGGTTGGTGGAGGTGCTATCGTTCTTCCGCCTCTCGTCTAACCGTTATCAATTCTGGAGCTACGCAGCAGACGACCTGCGCAAGTCAATATGCCAGAAGAAGCGGGCAACGCTAACCGTCCCACGAACACTACAGCGCCCGTGGTCAAACATCGACAGCGCGACCCCCAGATCTTCGACGGATCTCCGGACGCCGACGTCGACGATTGGTTAAGGAACTATGAACGGGTCAGCCACTACAACCACTGGGATGACAGCTTTAAGCTCGCGAATGTTGTTTTTTTTTCTAAAAGACACAGCACTTCGCTGGTTCGACAATCACGAAGAAACCATCAATTCCTGGGAAGGCTTCAAAACAGCATTCACCGATGTGTTTGGCAAACCCTAGCACCGGAAGCAGCAAGCGCGCGACCAGCTATTGCGCCGCTATCAAAGACCCACAGAAACATCAACAGCGTACATTGAGGACATCCTCCGTTTGTGCCGCCGAGTTGATGCTGAAATGGCCGAAGACGAGAAAATTCGCCACCTCTTCAAGGGCATTTCGCAAGAGCTCTTTTCTGTCGTGGCTCCGAAAGCACCTGCTACAACAGAGCGCTTGATAGCGGAATGCCGACAGTACGAAGAGCTCGATAGCGCACGGATCTCCAAAAAAACATTCGAGCGACTCCCTGAAGTGTCCCAGGTAACAACTCCCGACACAAACCTTGCTTCGCTCATCCGCACCATAATACGCGAGGAGCTTCGTACCTTCGTCGCACAGCTACAGTGACGAACACCAAACAAATACTGACGTACATGGCATAAAGGACGCAATTCAAAGCGAACTGCGCGCTGCTCTGGGGCACGTCACGCCAGCAGCCTCTCCTTACGCACCAGCAGCACCCGTCCCAACTTCGATCTGCGCTTATCAGTCCATCCCTGCCACGTATGCCGCACCAACCCCTCCATGGACACAACCACAACCAAGGACCAACATCTGGCGAACGCCAGATCAGCGACCTGTGTGTTATTATTGTCACACACCAGGACACATCCTCCGATATTGTCGCCGTCGACTTAACAACACGGCTCGCACCTCGCCGACCAGCCGTGTATACTCCACAGACTATACTGACTACCATGCTACTCATCGCACTCCGCCCATCGACGAATTTTCTTCACGTTCCCACACGTCCACTCCCCCCGGTCACGAACAATTTCCAGACAGTCGCCGTCCCTCTCACAGCCCCGAACGTTCCCCACCGCCACGACGTGGCCGCCCCTCATCGCCGTACCCGCCACGACGCCGTTCTGTATCACCCTTCACCACCGACGCTCCCGGACCTTCACCAGTCAAACTAGATAAAGCGGTCTGCAGCTACGTTGGAGGTCAGGCTGCACACTCATCACTATCCGCAAATCCTCCTCATTTAGGATCAACATCAATTGTACTCAAACTTAGAAATCACAACTTCACCGCCTTAGTCGATACAGGAGCCGCGAAGTCTTGCATTCCTGAACACATCCGCCGTCGTCTGCACGCAGTACTTACTCCGCCGTTGCAAGGACACTTGATGCGCATGGGCAATGGCGATTTGGTTCCCCCACTCGGATACTGCACCCTTACAATCCGGATTGGTAACAACCGTTACGTTGTTATGTTCATAGTGCTTCCCTGTATCGCCGACATCATCCTGGGATGGGACTTTCTGTCTTCAACAGAAGCATTCATTGACTGTGCCAGCCGTGAATTGCATCTCAACTCTTCTGATACTGCCGAGGTTGCTGCTGATGGTTCGCTCGTCACCCTGGTAGCCGACACTGACATACTGCTGCCTCCGAGTCCGTACGCTGCCGCTGTCGCCACACTCGTACCGACCCTACCCACCGCAGCAACTTCTGGTCTCATTGAACCCATCTCTACGCAGCTCGTGACCAAGGGCATAATAATTCCCTATTCACTTGCTACACTCACGAGTGGAAAACTTCAGTTATGGGTAACCAACTGTTCTTCCGAAGCCCAAATCGTTCCTTCCGGAAGTCGTGTCGCTACAATGCACTCAACAGTGCATCACCAATTTGCCAGTCTCCTCCCCATCACTTCAGACGCGCTCCCTACACCACCTGATTTCAGCAAGCACGTGGAAAAAATGATCGACCCCCGCCTACCACTGAACCAACGACATATATTAGCCCGTCTTCTTGCAGACTACGAAACCCTTTTTGACATTAACCCTGGAAAGTTGCCGCAAACTTCGCTTATAGAGCACCGAATTGATACTGGCGATTCATCACCCGTTCGAAGCCGACCGTACAGAGTTTCCTCAGCCGAACGCCGAGTAATTCAGACACACATAGATGATATGCTCCAAAAGAAAGTAATCGAACCATCTTCTAGTCCATGGTCTTCACCCGTTGTTCTTGTTAAGAAGAAAGACGGCTCTTGGCGTTTCTGCATTGATTACCGCAAACTAAACAAAGTCACAAAAAAGGATGTTTATCCACTGCCCAGAATTGACGACACTCTTGATACGCTCCAAGGGTCTTCATATTTCTCTTCCATGGACCTCCGAAGTGGTTACTGGCAAATTCCTGTCGCCAGTCACGACAAGCCCAAAACCGCATTCACTACTTCAACTGGCCTGTATCACTTTAATGTGATGCCATTTGGACTTTGCAACGCTCCAGCCACCTTTGAGCGTATGATGGACTCTCTACTACGCGGCCTTACGTGGAACATCTGTCTGTGCTACCTCGACGACGTCGTCGTGTTCGCCCCGACTTTCGACGAGCACCTACACCGGCTGCGCATGGTCCTGCAGTGTTTCCGAGCCGCCGGTCTACAACTTAATTCCAAGAAATGTACGTTTGCCGCTCCACAAATCAAAGTACTGGGTCATCTCGTCAGTGCTTCCGGCATCAGCCCAGACCCCGACAAACTCCGAGCTGTGGCTGAATTTCCTGTACCACTGAAAGTGAAAGATGTCCGTGTCTTCCTAGGATTATGCACTTATTTTCGAAAATTTATTTGTGGTTTCTCTGACATCGCAGAGCCTCTCAATAATTTACTAAGGAATGGTGTACGCTTTCAGTGGACCAAGGAACAGCAGGACTCGTTCGAGTCCTTAAAAATAGCGTTGACCTCTGCCCCCATCCTCGGACATTTCGTCGAAGGCGCAGATACAGAAATAAGAACAGACGCCAGCGGTCACGGTGTGGGAGCGGTTTTGGCCCAGACCATTCGAAATGAGCAGCGAGTAATAGCATATGCCAGTAGAACTTTGACTACCTCTGAACGAAATTTCTCAACGACTGAAAAAGAATGTTTAGCGGCTATATGGGCAATTACAAAGTTCCGCCCCTACCTATATGGTTCACCATTCCGCATTGTGACTGACCACCATGCCCTCTGCTGGCTAGCAAGCCTCAAAGATCCAATGGGCCGTCTTAGACGGTGGTCATTAAAGCTTCAACACTACACTTTCACGGTTGTCTACAAATCAGGTAAACGCCATCTCGACGCTGACGGTTTGTCCCGATGTCCACTTCCCACCGATCCTATACTCCCATCACGCATCGGCACAGCAGACCCAGCAGCAGTCCTCGACAATGTCGACATACGATCGGCACAGCTGTCCGATGCGTTCTTGAAACCTATTATTGACACCCTCCACGGCACTCTGCGATTCCCAACCCGTCGTACAGGGCGCCGCGCCCGCCTATTCACTCTTCGTGAGGGTGTTCTTTACAGACGCAACTATGATCCCCAAGAACGACCGTGGCTGCTCGTCGTGCCACGTCATCTTCAGAAAGAACTCATTCGAATCCACCACGACGACCCTACAGCCGGACACCTCGGGTTCTCCAAAACATATTTCAAAATTCGGGGAAAATACTTCTGGAACGGAATGTAACGCACCATCACGCGATATGTTCGCGCGTGTCACCTATGCCAGACCAAGAAAAAGCCTAGAACAAAACCGGCAGGAGCACTACGGCCCATCCCTCCGCCTAACCGCCCGTTCGAACGCATTGGTATTGACTTTCTTGGCCCATTTCCACTCTCGACCTCAAATAACCGTTGGGTAATCGTCGTCGTCGACTACTTCACGCGCTATGCCGAAACAAAAGCCGTGCAAGCCGCCGCAGCCTGCGAAGTAGCTACCTTCTTTCTGCACTCCATCGTGCTTCGTCACGGTGCCCCTCGGTACATAGTCACAGACCGCGGTACTCCATTCTTAGCTCACTTGCTTCAAGAACTCCTTCATCTCACTAAGTCCGTGCACAACATCACGAGTGCGTATCATCCACAAACAAATGGCCTCACCGAACGTTTCAATCAGACTCTAGCTCACATGATCTCCATGTACGTCGCAGACGATCACAAAAATTGGGACGTCATTCTTCCATACGTCACGTACGCCTATAACACCAGCCGCCAAGCCACCACAGAATACTCCCCTTTCTACCTCTTATACGCAAGGGAGCCACTCTCAACCTTGGATACCGTTTTACCCTATGTTGATGACACGGCACATGACGACCACACCGACGAAGTTCTTTACCGCGCAGAGGAAGCAAGACAACTGTCCAGGATTCATACACTACAGACGCAGCAACATCAAACCCTTCGTCATGCCGAAACCCACACTGATGTCGCGTACCAAGTAGGCGACGAAGTTCTTCTCTGGACGCCTCTACGATCTCCTGGGAAGAGCGAGAAACTTCTAAAACGCTTCACTGGCCCCTTCAGGATCTTACGACGCCTCTCGTCCACCAACTACGAAGTTACTCCAGTTTCGGCCCCTCGTGATCAGCGTTCAAGATCAACCGACATAGTGCACGTCGCACGCATCAAGCCCTACTACTGCCAAGCACCATAAACACACGTGCCGGCGGTCCGGCACTTTCCTCACCGGGAGGGTAACTGTTAGGAAAGACGACGACGTGGCGCGAGTGGCGCGCTCAAACGTCGGCCGCAGAGTGCCCGCGCGATTCGATTCAGACTGACTTCGCCTGGCTGCGCTGCGGCACTGACCGTCATCTACAATCCTCCGATCATCTGATTAAACCTGCACATCGTTACCTCACAATATATATATATATATATATATATATATATATATATGACATACATGACCTCTATACCGCTAATTTATTTAAGAGCTCTAATATAAATAATATCTACAAATTATATCAGTACCGACTATGTACTAGTTTTAAAAGTGAAATACCCCCTCAAAGGTCTGAGCTTTCTGGAAAACCCCTCGTCGCTGAGAGTAAACTTACCACCGTATACCCTGCCCGTAACACGGAAAATTGTGGGATGGTCACTCGGAGAACAAATGATGGTTCTGAAATGCAAAATTTCACACTACCGTATTTGTTGAATAATTTCTGTACGAATAATGCGGATCTAGACGGCCTAAAGCACGAGACACATGGACGGCAGAATCGTCCGATCCGACGTCCGATCAGACAGTCCGAACGCCGCTCCGAATCGCCGCACGTGACAGTTTGAGACACACGTTTCCGACCTTGCCTGCGACACGACGATCCGTTCGGCTCCGCCCAGGAGATCCAAGCACTCCAGCGGAGGTCCGCGTTCACAGATCTCTGGTCCCAGATTGACGGTTTAGCTCACACGAGCGAAGTTAGAAGCTCGGTCTCGTTAGCGCGTGCATTCTTTGCCGGGGCCATCTTTCTCGAATGGGTCAGCGGGATCCACGCGTCCGGCTTCACGTCGCCCGTCCCGTTTTCTTGTTCGTCCCGACAGACCCAGTACGTCATCATGACGTTCGCGCTAGCTGTGCTGTCATTGGCTGGACGCATCCGACAATCCGTCAGCTGTGCGAAACTATCTGCCGTGTTGGACGCATGTCGGATCGCGGATCCGACGTCTGAAGTGACCAAATTATTCGGATCAGGCGGTCGTACTGCCGGATCGGACGTCGGATCGGATGGATTTTTAGCGCATGTGTCTCGCGCTTAATAATACTTGAGATTGTATGTAATTGTACCTGATTTTGGCAAAGTAAGCGATTTTGTTTTGACTGAGTTTCTCTAGCCGTATTATTATTTTTTTTTTTCACGTTTCGCTTTTCTTAAGTGCGTGTGTGTTGTTTTCTATGTGTGTTCTTTCTCCGCTTGCTGCTAACCATTTTAGGGGACTGAGTACTGGTGAGCTGTATATGACAGCTGTTTTCTTTAGGTCCCCCATCAACCAATAGAAAATGGAGTTATAATTATTATTTGTGATCGGTTTGGGGAGCTGTCTCTGGGTAACGACGACTGGGTTCAAAACCTTGCGACAAAGCAGAAAAAAATAAAAAAAATAAGACAAACAATTTACGTCGCTGATTTTCCCTCTGTTTTGAATCGCGCTCTTAATGGACCTAAGCGCCGTTTTCACTGCAGAACAAGCCCTTAGCTAGCACTTAGGAGGTCCGGCGTTTCGAAACGGCCCAAACCGCGACCGACCGTTTGGGGAACGTGAAAACCTTTCGGGAACGTCATCGGCGTTCCACAGGACGTTATGTATGTACGTATACACAGCGCGACACTGTTAGGATAAACACGCGATTACGGACCCATCAACTACTTGTGTGAGAACACTCCAATCTATCACGTATACCTTGCAGGAAAGCAGGTGATTAATAACAATCCTACCGACGACTGTAACGATAACGATGATTACGCTAATGACATCCTTCAAAGACGAGCAAACGTCCTGAACGCAAAACATGGACCAAGCCCAACGGGGGACTGGCTCCCCTCAAGGCCGTGCAAGGTTGCCCTTCTCGAGGCTTCCCGCTGGTCGGGGAGTTGCCCAGGACAGCATGGCTTCCGCGGCAGACGGGGCAAGCCACCCCGCTGCTCTCCGCATGCCATTACAGGACCCGTCACACGCTCTTCTCTGTGCCGCTTTCTTCAGCCTATAAGCAGACTCCCGCACAGCGCTGCCTCACTTAGGACACCGTTGGCACCGTGGTGTGATGCCACGCGAATCAGCCCCGGTGAACGACGATGATGTCTTCCTTTATCTGAGCCCGCCAGATGAACAGTGAGCCTTTCTTTGTGGATAGCAGAGCCAGACCTTGAAGGGTATACGAAGCAATGACCAAGCTGCGACACTCTTCGTTTCATATCAGTCATCTTGTCATCCAGTTTGTGCTTCTTTGCTATGGTGCTTCGTCCGGCGGTCCCTGCAGTTTTGACTGCGTACACATCAACAAGAGACGAGACCCACAGGTCACACCAACGACGGAGACATATCGTCTTCAATATTGCCGGTCTCATATTAACAAAGGCATCATCTTCGCGATGATGTCCATGAGGCCCGCGGACGAATACCGAGTTCCTATTATATGGTAGCGGAACCAAACCTTGAAGACACATCTATGAAGTGATAGCCCCTTCAGCGTCGTCAGCC